ATGGAAGTAAATTGTGAGTGATTGGTGTCAAAGAGTTTGTCTTTCACAGCATCAGATAAATGTAGTATATTCCCATAAACCGCAGTCTCTCTGGTTCTTATTGCCTTTGGATTTTTACAGTACAAAGTAGTGTCTTTCCACTCCTCTCCCATTTCCACACATACAATAGATTAATCTTATTTTATTGAGATATCTCACATCTCATCAATTTGCCCTTCAAAAGTGTACAATTCAGTAGATCTTAGTATATTCACAAAGTTGTGCCACTATTGCAGCGATCTAATTCCAGAACATTTTTATCATCACAAAGGGAAACTATTTTCATTAGCAGTTTTTTGTTTTGTTTTGTTTTGCTTATTTTCCCGTTCATTCCTCTCCTCACCCACTGGTAAATACTAATCTATTTCTTGTCTCTATGGATTTGCCTATGCTGGAGATTCCATACAAATGAAATCATACATATACTATCTTTTATGTTGGTTTGGTTTCTTTCACTTAACGTAATGCTTTCAGGGTTCATCCACACTGTAGCATGTATCAGTATGGTCTTTTTAAGGTTGGATAATGGTTCATTTTAGGGATACACCACATCTTGTTTATTCATTTGTCAGTTGATGGACACTTAGGCTACATGTTCCAGAAAATGTAGCTCTCAGTGTTTCTGTACAAGTTTTTTGTTCATATGTCTTCATTATCTTGGTCAATAGTTTAGGTCTTCCCTCTCATTTCAATTTCTCTTTTTTCTCTCCAGCTTCAAAAATGTTCAGAATAATAGGAACTCTTCACACCCCCACTGATCTTGATAAACCTTGGCTACCACATTCCCTAAAGCTGAACTCATTTGCCTATCTTTTCCCAGAGCCACCCATTGGACAGATGCACCCCCCACATGGCAGTGCCACCCCTCAGAAGAACAGCAACCTGCTTGTGATCATTGTGGTCACCATTGGCGTCATCACAGTGCTGGTCGTGGTGATCGTGGCTGTCATTTGCACCCGGCGTTCTTCAGCCCAACAGAGAAAGTAGGTAACAGCTGGCTCCTGAGAGGAAAGAAGTCATCATCTTTGGGGTTCAATTTTTGACAGCCCTCTTCCTGCATTCTCTCATAATTCGCTGCATGCTCCTTGTCGCCCAACCATGGAAAACATTCTTTTTATTTAATATTGCAGCCCAATCCTTAAGTAAGGGCCAGACATGAAAATATAATAACAGAATCCATCTGGAGACCCACTGGCATTTCTGTTTGCTTTACTTCCTAGAGCCAGACTCTTCTTTTCAAGTGAGAGTAGGTGTTTCTTAAGTAACAGCTAGAGAATGAACCCCACTCTGCCCCTGTGTATGGCCTCTCTGCAATCATGTACAAAACGATGGAGATGTGTGACCCTCTGTAAGGGCTTATTTATCACTTTTGACAAGGAGGCCTGCAGGCAGTTAAATCAATGCTCGTTGAATGCATGAATAAATATACCATAGCATACCCAACTCAGTGTGGTTACAATCCAATGGGGAGTTTAGTTTGAAGGCACCAGCTGAGAAAGAAGGGTGGTTCCAGAGATTCAAAGTAGTTTAAATTTCCTGGCTGTAGTTAAGTGTTAGAAATTAAAAGTGTTGAGGGATTTAAAAAATATTTCCATATTATGCAGCTCCAGGTTCTAGCACTTGTAGAGAATGATGCATCAAAGAAAAGACTTTAGGATAAAGAAGTGTTTTTAATTCAGCTTATTCCCTTATAGCAAAACCCCACAACCAGCTTATTAGCCTTGTGTCAGCCAGTACTAGGAGTTAGAAAAATATCCTGGCTAGTCTCTGACTCTTTGCTTCTCTAGTCTAACTGGATGTGTCTTCATCGGTTTTACTCTCTTGTCGGCTCATTCTCATTCTCTCTCTCTCTGTGTCTCTCTTTCTCTGTCTCTGTCTGTCCGTCTGTCTTTTGTCTGTAGAAGTACCCATAGGTGCCTGGTTTGACAGTTACATATGACAAATGTTGGCAGACAAAGATTCTCCCACAAATAATTTTCCCTCTTCCCTCACTAATAGCACAAACTTTCTCTTCCTTTTAAAAAATTCTGTAGCTGTTTGTTGATTTCTAGTGTATCTTCCAGCACTCTGAAGTGAGGTGCTTAGAAACAGTATAGAAGGGGACAAGCAGATGGCATAATGGCTACATTGCTGGACTCCCATGTAGTCAGCTGGTTCAAGTCCCAGACCTGGTTGCTTAAATTCACACCAGGCACATGTACGTGAGTACCCAAGATCCTGAGAGGAAAATGGAAGAGAAGGGATTGCGGCATGGCCATCCCCCCTGAGGGGTAATTTTTCACTTTCTCTCTGTGTGTCTCTCTGTGTCTTTCTGGCTAGTGCGCATGCTCTATAGCAAAAAACTTAACAAAAAGAGGAAAAAAAAAAGAAACAGTATAGAAGATGTATATACTGAAGAAAACAACAGAGTTGTGGATTCGTCATTGTATTCATTTTTGAGTCAGGGCAAGTTTTATATCCAGCCTCAAGTATGAGAATAGAGTATTTTGAAGCCAGTGATAACTGATGTTTTGGTTCATTTTGCCCAAACAAAAAATCTGACAGAATGCACATAGCTGGGCCGACATGTATAAGCATTCTAGGATGTCACAGTCACTTGCTATGTTTCCCAACTACTGAGCACTGATAAGACTGGGGGTGGGGGTTGGGGGGATACCTAACTGAGAAAGGCATTGAACCACCTCTTGGTCCAGCATTCCCAGGAAAGAATTTGTGTTAACATGAGACATCAAGGCACCAAGTCTCTGTGGCAAAGCTGAACAGTCTCATAAAGTGAATAGAGAGGAAGGACTAAAACCACACTTGGCCTGCTTTATAATTATTTTTAAAACATAGATGCACTCCCTAAACTAACTAAATTTAACTGAACCACCTACAATAAATTTCTTTTTATTATTGTTTTCATTTTATATTCCCATTGTCATTTTTTTTTTGTTTTCTCTTTAAAAATTTGACCAGAGAGACACACAGAGAAAGAGAGAGAGAGAGAGAGAGAGAAAGTGAAAAAGCAAGACCCCAGGTCTGGGACTTGAACCGTGGTCAGCCATGTGGGAGTATCCACTGCCTTAACCACCATGCCACCTGCTGGTCCCTTCCCATTGTCATTTCTGTAAGAAGTTTTGTAAGCTATGTTGACCTGATGAGCTAGATTTCCAGACATGAAATGTTTCCCCAAATTAAAATGGGGAATGCCAGTCATCTCAATGTGGAAAAGTGGATGTGGCACCATGTTGAGAAATTCTCATATCTTCCTAAGTCTCATCCTAAACACTTTGTACAAGCTTGAATGAAGGTTTCATTTGGAAATAGTAGATGTTGAGTCCTCGATATGACTTACTTTTAAAATTAGAGTGTGAATGAAAAATTAATGATTCCACTGGGACCAAGTGATAGTATGGTGATAACATAACTGGGCCTAAAGGGGATAGACTCAGAGTTCCAATCCCAGGACCTCCCTGAGTATTCTAGGTGCTTGTACACATGCTCATGATCTAAGCTGACCAAAAATGGGATTAGATTGTGATGTGAACATCTTGGTTCCAATGTGTCTATCTCTCTCCTTCTTTCTCTTATAAAAAAAAAAGAAAGAGACTTTTTGAAAAAGAATTAATGGGGAACCAGCAGATAGTGTCATGTTATGTCACTAGACTTCCATGTAGTCAACTATGGTTCAAGTTCCAGACCAGGCAGCTTAAAACACCAAGCACATGTAGGTACATGCCCAAAATCCTGAGAGTAGAAGGGATTGCAGTGGTGATTTCTCGCTTTCTGTCTCTCGTGAATGCACACACACATAGCAAAAATCTCTCTTAAAAAAATAAATAAAAAGAAAGAAAAAGAATAAATGATTGTATAAATTATTGAAAACCACAAAGAAAGTGAATTTATACTTCAATTTGGTTTCCCTCACACCACCCCTAAAGTCTATTAACATTTATTTGGTGTATTTTTAGACTTTGTTTCATATATTTTTCTTCAGTAACAGACTCATTGGCAGACCCCTTTGTTTACACAAGTTAGTGGAGAGAAAAAGGAAAAGAAATTTTTCTCCTTTAGTTATTTCTGAGTTTTAGTTTTTCTTGATTGCATTGAGAACCCCTCCCCCCATCACCACTAGCACCACCAAACCCTTTAGAACAAATTGAGTAATGCAAGTGAAAGCAAAATCAATTCCAATCTGAACAGAAATAAGGTCCTTCACAGAGCTCTGAGAGTGGGAGTTTAATGTAATTAATAAGGCGAAGTAGGAAACACATTTATAGGCTTCTTCAATATTACTTTGTCTGAGAGTATTGGAGAATATAAATTTTTCTTAGGGTTTTCTTGGGAGACATACTTGAATTACATCCAGGTGGATTGAAAAATGTTTATGAATGATGACTAATACCTTTTCAAGTTAGTGCCTACGCATTTTATTCTACAGTTTATTGTGAGTTTTACTTATCATTTAATAATGAGGTAGGCTGATAGATTTGTGGTCTTGTAGGCATGATTTCTTTTTTTTTTTTCCATATAAAATAGCAACAAAAGTTAGAACCCAAGTTCTGGTTTTATTGCTTTGTAAATTAATTGTGTTATCTAAGGAAAGACCCTTCATCTCCGAGTGGCAGTTTCAGCAAATACGAGACATAGGACTATATATTTTCTGTTATCCCCTCAACAGTTTTTTTAATGATAGTGAGCATGTGAGTACAAGCAGGTGAGAGAAAGAGAGAAAGGCACCCTCAACAGAGCCTCATCCTGCCATGATCTCTCTTCTTCAGTCCTCAGAGCCTCAGGATTCTGGGCACCTGCACACATGCCCAGAATGTTCTCAGACTGACCCAGGAATCTGAACTGGTGGTCAGCCACGTGGCTTCCAACACTGCAGTCTAGCACACCATGGACTGTACTGTCATGGTTATCACATCTCTATGGCAGTTACCTGGACAAATGATCAGCAATCTTTTCTGAACACATTAAATTTAAATATAGAAATAAAACACAAGTTTCACTTGATAGAATCACTGGTTGATGAGCCTTCTATGTGAGTTGATGTGTACCTAGTAAGTTTTAAAGATTAACAGGCATTCAAATCTTGATAAAAAAAAAAAAAAATCTAGTGCGAAGGGTCAAACATTTAAACTCAAATGAAATGTACTGTATTTTAATGATTATAGGTAACTTTCATTGATATTCAACTTTTTAATGTTTTAATTGGTTTTTGGTATTTGCCTCATAGGGATTTTAATAGGTGACTACTTAGGACTTCAATATATCTTAATTCCACCTCAGAAAATATAGGTATACTTGAATATAAAGAATTTATCCTGGGACCAGTAGATGGTGTAATGGTTACATCGCCAGACTCCCACATAGTCAACTGCAGTTTGAGTCTTGGACTCAGTGGTTTAGAACTCACACCAAAGGATTTTGGGCATGTGGGAAATGGAGGAGAAGGGATTATTGCATGGTCATCCTGCATGGGGAGGGTGATTTCTCACTTTCTGTCTGTCTATCTGTCTCTGTCTCTCTGGTGAGCACATGTGCCCTACAGCAAAAATCTCTCTTTAAAAAAAATGAAAAGGAAAGAAACTTTTCTTTGTCTAATAGGTTATGTACAAAGTAAGAAACAGGTGAACCTAGAAAGAACAAGAGAAGAAACTTTCAAAAAAATGCTTCCATGTAAATAATAGATTTTTTTATTATTCAAATTAAATAGCCATTTTGTGTTTAGTGTGTGATCTGCATCATACAAAATAACCAATCTGATTAGTGCTAACTCTGGAGATAAAAATCTTTCTGAAATTCCCCACTGCTTTCTTGATATTACAAAAAAATGTTCTTACAGAAGACAAAGCCTCCCGTGACTGAGTGCCCTCTAGTTTTTCTGCCTCACCACCTGCCATGGTCCTGTGCACATGCTCTGTCTGCCCCTACAATGCAGAAATCCCCCACATCCGTGCTGCTCTTCATTCACTTATGAACTTCCAATGTCTCACCTATCTTTGCATCTGTAGTACTTAGCATTTGCTTCACAGAATCAATACTGCCCAAGTGTTCACTGACTAAACAGAGGAAGAAATGTTGCGAAGAGTGGATGATGCTGTGAGAGTGAAGGGAATGGTTTGTATAGTATCACTGGAGGGATTGGATTATCCCAGAGAGAGCAGCTGGATAGCTCCTTGGTAATCAATGCCAAGGTCAGAGGAATAGAGAGAGATGGGGGAGACCACTTAGATATTCTAAAATTTCTTTGCCCTAAAATGGTCAGAAAGCTTCCCTGAAGGAAAGGAGCTTTGAGAGAACCTTAAGGAATAAGTAGTTTGAGTGAGGACCGTGAAGGCATTCTGGGTATAACTGAAACAACTACATGAACAAATAGACAAAACAAAGAATGTAACCCAGCACTAGATTGTACTGTGAAAGCTTTGCCATGGCGAGAGAAGGAGAAAGCGAGAGCCGTGGAGGATTCTTTCCTTTCGTTCAAGAATACATAGGGCAGGAAGAGACCCTCCTATTCTGAAATTTTGGGAAGTAGAAAAATCAGATACCTATGGGAAAAGATGTATTTGGTATTGGGGGAAGGGTTAAATATTCAACAATAGAGACATTCACTTTCAAATTAAAACAAAGTCAAATAATTCAGGAAGATAATGCCTCTCAAACCTTATATGTATTAAATTAACCTGGTGGGGGCACTAAGACTGCAGTTCTACAGTTTTAACCAGTTCCCAGGTAATGCTGAGGCCAGCCAGGAGCTGCGCTTGGGTAACAATGGCACCAGGCACAGCTCATAGAAATTTTGTAGATTCCAGTGGAAAGACAGAGGAGTCATGGGCTGTGATGAGCAGCATCATTAGGTCAGAGAACTAGCAGATGGGCAGAAGGTCAGCGTCACAATTGCTCCTGTAGGTTTTAAGACAATTTCAGACTATTTAGATATGAATAAAACATGTCAGTTTTATTACAAATCTGCTGTAGTAGAAGATTTGGCATGGTAGAGAGAGGAGGTTAGCAGGAGGAGACTCTTCAAGGCCAAAGATGAAAACAACATTATGGGAAACAATGGTGGTTAGATGGCCATTGACAGAATATATACAAAAATGAAATGAAGTTTGTTTAGAAATCTTTAGAGTCTTGACTGATAGTCAGCTGTGTGAGTGAGTAGCTTCTTAGAAGAGATCTTGATCTGATTAAAATCTATTAGAAAAATGCTTAGACATTTCATTAAGAATGATCATTTCAGGGCCAGCAGGTGGTGTGGTGGTTATGGTGTTGAACTCCCAAATGGGTGACCATGGTTTGAGTCCGAGACCTGGTAGCTTACTTTCTCTCTCTCTCTTTTTTTTTTTTTCTCTCTCTCATGAGTGCACATGCCCTATAGTAAATTTTAAAATGATAAATAATTAAATATTTTTTAATAAAAAAAAAATGGGCATTTCTTCCCAGTGGGAGGTCATGAATAACAGCACCCAAAAAGTTCAACCTCAGTTCAAGTTTGGAAGTTTCTTGTTAATATTGCTTTTATTTATTTATTTATTTGTAAATAAAAGACTCCTCAGTATGCTTGCTACTGAAATTATGGGGATTTTGAAATGATGAAATGAATGAATAAGCCATGGAAACCATAAAGCACAAGGGAAACCATAATTCATCATTTATTGTTGGTTTAAGAATTTTTGGGCTAATTTCTTTACCATGGGCTATGTTAAGTATTGAGTTATCCGTGAGGAGTCTGACTGACCTGGAGTTTGGGAACTAGTTCATCTCAGTATACAGACACAAAGAGAGGGTGGGGTTAGGTTATTTAGCATTTTGGTCTGGTAGAAAGATAACAAGGTAGAACTTCCAAGTTTATAAAGACATTGAATTCTTTTAAGAAATTACCATAAATAGACCACATAAAGGAGTTATGTGTGAGTTGTAAGTCAGTTTCCTGCAGGTAGATTAAGTTTAAGGAAATGAATTCAGTAACTGGATGGTTAGCCCCAAGTTACTATCTTAGACATAGGAAAATGATCTAGGAGTTATTTTAGACCATTGTTTAGAAACTGTCTGGGGCTACTGCAGGAAATCAGAAAAGTGCAGGTAGATATTGGGAAACCAGAGCAGAAAACGTTGCCTTCTCTCCCTATTTAACTACAAAGTAGATATTTAAGTCTGGTAGTCTTTGTCTCCTACCTTCATCAGCATGTTTCAAAAGAAAATTCATCAAATCATACTACCAAATATTTAACAATTGCCTAATATTTGCCAAACTTCTTACTCAGCAATTCAAGAACCAAACCCACTCTCAGTGACGTTGCGCAGATTATAAAGTGCTTTCACTGCAAGTAGTTTGTTTGAAGTATTCAGCAATCATGGAAAAAGTTACCACAATAAACCATTCATGGCAAATTGTGGAAGCCAGGAGCTTCCCTGGCTTCTGTCAAAATGAGTTTAAATGATGAATTCTGTCTTGTAAGAGACATTGTCATTTTTTAAAAGAAATAGAAGTTATAAGTAGAGATTTAAAAATTCTGAAACTGTAGTGTAGGGGTTGAAATCTGTTCTGAAAAGGGCCAAATAATGGGCTGACCTTGTAGCTTAGTAGTTAAAGGAAACCAGATTCCACATGGCTAACGATGGCTCAGATCTCACCCTGATGGGTTATTAAACATGCCTGGTATATGTACACACCCCAGACCCCATCAAGATGGCATAATGGAGAAGGGATTGCAGCTTGAACTCTCAATGGTGAGGGGGTGCTTTCCTTCTCTTTCTCTCTTTTTCCTCTTTACATCTCTCTTTGGCAAGCATACATGCCTTCGGGCATTTAGAAAAATAATAATAGAGCTCAACTAACACTTAGTTAAAATGTGGGGGCCACATAATCTCTGTCACAGTTAATCATTTCTGCCATTGTAAAAACAAATGAGCTTGGCTATGTTCCAATAAAACTTTATTTACAAAAGTAGGCTGTGTACAGATTTGACCTGTAATCCCTGGTTTACTGTCCCCTGCTGAAGAGAATGGTTAGCATGAGCATCATGCTTATTTACTTAGCAGGGGACACCTGAATTCCACTAGCCTCAAGAAAAAAAATTTATGGGGGCTAAATCCTTATTGAGGCAAATAAGAGAAATACGAAACATATTTCCAAACTGCATTCTTCTCTTTTCAAAGGATGGGTCTTCATGTTTGAATCCAGACTCTAAGGCAGATGTGTTTTATTCTCCTTAGAATGTCCTTGTGTGGCCTTTTGTTTCCGAATAGCAAGCCTCCCCATTGCACATTAAATTATACAGCTGAGGTATAGACTTTCTTCTAAGCCCCAGTCTTAGCTGTTGGCACAAATTCTGGCCTTTTTATTTCTGTTTGCCCTTTCAAAGGAACTCCTTCATTTATCTCCTAAACAGATGTTACAGTCAGGTACCTTATGGCTAGCTCCAAAGATTGGCATATGGCTCCATCTAACCTATTGTCACCTCGTGCAAGGATCTGCAGCCGGAAAGCTGGAGGAAGGAGCTCTCTGGCAGGCAGCCCAGACCCTAGGGAGTCAGCACCATGTCTCCTATAATGTGGTGAAGCTCCAGGGGGAAGAGGAATGGCAGCCAAGACAGATCTGCCAATTCTTGGTTTTCACAGGGCTCCTCCTGGGAGTCTTTTGTTTCCTTCCCTGCTTCTAACTTGAATTGACTGAGCAAAGAGAGGACGTACCAATGAATAGAGGCTCTGACCTGTCCCTTCTTACTTTGTTCCATAGGAAACGGGCCACCCACAGTGTTGGCAAAAGGAAGGGCAGCCAGAAGGACCTTCGACCTCCTGATCTTTGGATTCATCATGAAGAAATGGAGATGAAAAATATTGAGAAGCCATCAGGCACTGACCCCGCAGGAAGGGATTCCCCCATCCAAAGTTGCCAAGACCTCACACCAGTCAGCCACAGCCAGTCAGAAACCCAGCTTGGGAGTAAAAGCACTTCTCATTCAGGTAATTACCTTCTCATGGGCATCAGGGAAGACATACCATCCTGTAGCCCTTGAGGGAGTTGTCCCCATGAGTGAAGGTATATTTCCCACTAATTTGCAGGTCATTATGGGTCACCTATCAATACTTAAAATACTCCTACATAAATCTAGTTAGTGGGTCAGCACTGTGCCTAACGGTTAACCGTTAGCCAGACCCCACCTTGAATCCAACCCCTGGAAGTTTGAAAGTATATCAGATGCATGTATGTACCTGCCCCAAATCCTAATAGGATGGAAAAATGGAGGAAACGAGATCATGGCACAACCACATGCCATTTGGGTGCACTCTCTTGCCCAACTCACCCTATTTCTCTCTGGTGAGCACACATGCCTTCTGACTATTAAAAAAAAGTAAATAGTTATATGTCTTTCTATTCTATCATCCTACTGTCTACCTTTTATAGTTTGATAATTCCTAAAACTTCTAAAATGTTGGAAGTGAGAAATATTGAAATATGAGGCCTAAATGAATTGATTACCTTGTGTTAAATCTTAAAACTTGGGGCCAGCAGGTGGCGTGGTGGATAGGGGCGCTGGACTCCCACATGCCCCACCACGGTTCAAGTCTTGGACCTGGTGACTTGCTTTGCTTTCCCACTTCCTCTCTCTGTCTCTGTCTCTCTCTGATCAAACTGGAAAATAATAATGATAATAATAATAAAGTTAAATAAAATAATTCTAAGAAAAAAATCTTAAAACTTTTGTTAAGGCAGTACAATTTGAAACGGCCTGTATATTTTTCAATCCCCTATTTTGATAAATAATTGAAAGTAGATTCTAAATTTGCTATCAATTTCTTATCTCAAAAATCATATAAGGGACACTTGAAGTATGAAAAATTGCATATTGTGTTTCTTTGGCCTTGATTACCATAGAGATCAGTGTCTTCTCCTGACAGTCACATCAAAGATCTCTAGTGTAGCTTGAAGAAGTTTATCTGAAAGCTTTGTTGTTGGACAAAGGGACAAAAGGAAAAGCCTGCTCTTCAATGAAATGGTGAAGAATCCCTGATATCCAGAAATAACCAAGAACTAGAAAGGAGTTATAAGATATTACACTGTCCGCGTGGGTCCTCATATAAGGAGTTATTAACTTTTATAAGGAGCTAATTTTGTCATCGTTTTTCCCAAATGAATTTTTTATACTAAAGTATCAACTCATTCATTATTTTTTGAGATACAGATTTTATAATTTAATGTGTAAAAAGACTTATTTAGAAATATCAAAGTTTTTGTCTGAGAAAATTTTAACTAAGATCACCTTTTGTAATTAAATACCTGCAGGCCGAAGTGCCATAGATGTCATACATATGGTTAGCTATGGTGTCCAAAAGGGTCATCCCCTTTGTTTTTAAAATTGTATATGTCTTTTTTATTTTTTTCATCTATTTTTAAAAGGAGAAACCGGCCTGTGAAACTCTAAGTATTTTTAATGTGGTAGACTAGCGTGTTGTTATTTTTAGTGTTTGTTTTTTATTTTTTGCTTTTTTTTTTTTTTACTAAATATCACTCTTGTGTTGAGATCACTTGTCTTATGTGTCTCAGATTTTTCAAGAATTTAGCACTCTTGAAAGGGGCCCAAAGTGCTTGAGTGGTCAGCTCTTATTTTGCGTTTACTGGATGGACCTGTCATTAATATTAATATGCTGCAATTGGTTGAAATACACGTCTTAAAGATACTATGCCAGGGACAGGATATAGAGAGAATCTTGTTAATGGAAAAAATGGTCTGTAAGTGTTTGTGGACATGACTCTCCCTAGTGTCTCTGAAAAAGACTTTGGAAAAAAAGGAAAAAGCAGTCAGACTTCTGTCCACAACACAAAAATATCTATCTTTGGAACCAGCAGATGGCATAATGACTATGTCGCTGGACTCCCACGTAGTTGAGTGTGGTTTGAGTCCTAGACCCGGCGGCCTAAATTCACATTGGGTGTGTGCATGCATGCCCAAGATCCCAAGAAGAGAATGGAGGAGAAGGGATTGCAGTGTGGCCATCCCCCACTCGGCGGAGCTCTCCAAACACCTCTCCATAGCTATTATGCCATATATTTGTCTCTCTCACCATTTCCCTCTCTATTTCTACCTCCTCCCACAAAAGAAAAAGATAAATACCCCTCCATCTACTCATGTTGTGATTATAGAACAAGTAGCTAGTATTTTTAAACTGAATTAAAATAGTTATTTGTGTAATTGGTTTACTGGACTTTTTCAGCTCAGAATTAGACAAATAAAGAATTTAATTACTGAATTTAGTCATGGATTGTTAAATATTCCTTTTCTAGCCCCTAAGTGATATTTTAAGCAGATTCCCAACTTTTCTGTTACTTTCAGTTATTAATTGATATTCTAGTCCTGTTGAAGATTATTATCTGACATTTAAACAAAAGACTTTCTTTCCTCATGACTGACTAGATTTTGGCTCTGGGGACTGAGGGTCATAGTTTGCTCTATAAATGGAGTGGTGGAGTTGGGCAACATGGGGTGAGGGACACAGTCTGTTTCAGAAATACCTTTACATTTTCCCCCTCCTCTTCTATTCTTCTTGGGTATGTGGGAAAAGAGGAATAGAGAAAGGGGAGGGGGGAGGAAGAAAATTATTGAAGTTCTTCTCACAGCAGTTCTGGACACATGGTCGAGTCTACGTGTGGGTCTCTTATGAAACACAATAGTAAATTTTTTATGGTGTCCTGTAGGATTCTCCCACTGCCTGATTTTATGAGGTGAGACATCAGGTTTAACACCCTCCCACCAGGCTCAGCTCTTCCCATCAATCACACCGGTCTTCTGGTGGGTCACCGTACTTGGGTGAATCCCATAAAGAAAACTTAAGCTGGTCATCTTTCTACACGCCCACTTGACCACAGAAAGTCCTTACATCCTTGCAGGGCCCAGTGGAGAAAGATCTCGTCCCCCTCGCTGGCCCTCATTCAGCTTTTCTCTCTTCAGTTTCCGTTTCCTCTTTTTAGACAAACACAGGGTAGACCAGCAAGTGTGCTGCCTAAACAGACTCCCATTTAGGGAATAAAGGAAAAAGAGATTTGCAGGAGCAACCACATTTACAGCTGATCCCTCTTGCACTTTTATTTTTGACCGAATGTCAGAGAGTGGAGACCTCTTCTGCCTCCTACTTGGAAGGACAGAATTGTCTCTCTGCCCGTGATAGGTTTTGCTAATGATTCTTTTTCTTGCTTTTTCCCTTCATCTTTTAGATACTGAGATGACATTTGGTGGTAACCAGACTAGTTTTATAGCTCTTAATAAGTTCAGGGGGGGAGGATCAACTCTAAATAAAGGCCATTTTCTTTAGAGTGAAAGGTTACCTGTGCCTGTTTACCCTCAGTTTGAGGACCTAGTTGCCAATTTTGTAATAACAAGGAAAGTGACCCTCAAAATCCTGCAAGTTCCACTTTACATTACAATAAGTGTTCCCTGTATTCTCCTGGTTAAAAGGACAAAACACAATATAAATGAGTAAGTCATCAAGAAGCATATATTTAATAATGAGGTTTCCAAGCAGGTCATAACTATCTAAGGAGAGATTATTTGATATTAAATTCGGTGATTGGCACTTATATACATAATTTTACTTAATCCTCACAAAATACTTTGAGGGAGGTGCAGTTGTCACCTCCATATAATAAATGAAGCAACTGAAGTTAATAAAATAATATGCCCAAGAATTCAGAACTAGGATTGGCTAGCCAAGATCAGAAATCTCTCTAACTCTAAAATCTATGCTTTATTGATCCAATTTTGATTCCTTTACATATTACTTTTATACAAGTGCTTGTCCTGTTTTCCACTCATGAAATTAGCGCTCTGGGTAAAACTAGAAATTAATTTGCAGCATTTGTATTTTCTATTACAATAAAATTGAATTGAGCAATAGCTGAGTTAAGAAAAGAATATCTTCTGACAGTCCCCATAACGCAGCCATTGGTTAAGGGAGCTGGATCTCGCATAGAACAGTGGCTTGAAGAACATGTCAGGTGCATGTGCATATGTGTTCCAAATCCTGACAGGAAGGGAAAATAGAGGAGAAGAGATTCCAGTCTGACCACGTCCCAGTGTGGGGACGTGCTTTCTCCTTCCCTCTCTCTCTTTCCCTCACTTCTTCTCTTTCTCTGGTGACCCAACCTGTCCTCTAGCTATAAAAACATTTTTTCATCAAGTGAAAGTTACGTTTTGCTTTTACTTAATCTTTCCTACTCTTAATATCGAAGCTTCTTAAACAAAACCTACCTTTTTCTTAACCATCAGAATAGAGCATCCTACAAAAATATCTAGGAACAAAGATAATGAAGCTTCTTAAACAAAACCTACCTTTTTCTTAACCATCAGAATAGAGCATCCTACGAAAATATCTAGGAACAAAGATAATGAAAGTATCTGTCCACAACACATCACTTCTACATCAAGTATATTTCCAAATTCTTTCCTTCACTTAAAAATTTACAACAGAGAATGTCAGCAATTTGAGTCTATTTTATCTCCATGATTTATAAGTAGACTATGGTTTAGCTCCACTACAACAAACCAAACCATGGGATTGGTTTCTTACTTTCATTTCTGAAGCATGAATAAGTAAATGTCAACATTATGGCATTTCATAATACTCAGTTTCTTTTTTTACAAAGAGCTGCTCATTCAATAAATACATCTTCACAGGGTCTGCATGAACACCTAATAGCCAATTTAGTTGAATATTTATCTTTAATTATTAGTTCATTTGACTTATTTACATGTTTACCAAATCTTTTGTCTTAAGAAGAATTTTCTAATTCTTCTTAAGCCATTGGTGATCATTTTAGGTTCTCTCTTTAAGAGGCAAACCACAGGGCCAACTGTGGTGGTGCAGGCAGTCCAGGACATGGCTGCATGATGCTGGAGACCTCATAGGAGGGTCCCAGTTTTGTGTCCATGTCCACTGTAATACCCTGGGTGTTCCCATGGGCATACCTG